AACGATGGGGTAAAATTGGTGAGTGGAAGCGGAGAAACGAAGTCGAGTGCGTTTGTTTGGATTTTCAGACTTCTCCGTCTGATTGTTTTTAGTTTGTAAACAAATGAAACTCAAATTTCAACATCAAGACGTTAGTTGTGGTCTTCAGGGCCAGCGTTATCGTCGGTCGCGTCGTTGTCTGTAGCTCCAGTGTCGTTGGCTTGCGGGATCTTGCCGTATCTGACCAAGTTGCGGTATTTGTCCTTCAAGTCAACGTTGGATCGATGCCGGAGCACCTCAGGGAACTTGGACTTGATCAGAACCCACACATTCGAGTACGACTCGTACAGTCGGTAGCCCATGATGAGCGCTGCTTCCTCTTCTTCCGACCAACGCACTCTTTTGCGTCTGCCACCTTGACGTTCATTTGGAACAGGATTAACGATGGCAATGCTTTCTTCTCTTGTCATCTACAAGGGAAGAAAATGTAAGTGAACATGTCCAGGTACAGCACAGCAACGAGGTTGTTACCCTTCTACGAGGAACTGCGCGGCGACCTTCTTGACGAGCAGCTCTGGCAACTTCTGCTGTTCGAGGGGGTCTTGACGATGCTGGGCGCTCTTCGGGCTCTTCTTCTGAAATGTCGGAGTGCACAGACTCCGTCGATTCTCCATTCACTAGGTCAAGTAATGAAATAATAAGTTAGTTTCTGAGAGCTTAGCTTAGATAACTCAATTGCAAAGTTACAAGAGAATGGAACGCGCGTTGACCAAACCCAGTCCTGAGCTTCAGAAGGGAGAGGTAGCGCTGCGGCGGCATCATTACCAGAGTTACTGGGGTCTGGAATGTGTTGCTCTTGTTCTTGCTCCTGGGTTTGTTCATGGCCCTGCTGCTGTTGCTGAGACTCATTGTTTGCTATCTGGCCGATGTCTGCTCCCGGGAGGGAGTTAAACTGCGAGAGATCTCGCCATTCCCGTCGAGTTCCTCCGAATCGCTTCTCCAGCAGCGCACGTGGCACGATTATTCTGTACAAGTAACCCATGTTAGCAAATGCATATCACACAGCAAACACTTTCTACAACCACTTACTTTGGGCCCTCCGGCGCCTTGGTTGGGAAGGCGAGCTCGAGCTTCGTGGGGCCCAGCGTGACGGACTCAATCATGCACAATGCACGCGTCATATCACGTCGGAAAGAAGCGTCGTTCAAGTGGTACAGCTCACGAAAAGCCTCCCAGCAATCCTACAATAAAAAAAATCAGTTAGATAACGTAATAAAACAAAACTCATCGTTTCGAATCACGAACCTTTGGTTCATCCTGCTCAAAGATCCTCTTAAACGTCGCCAGGAATTTCTTCAGCCCCGACTCCGTATCACTCCTGTACCATACACCGTCAGTACAATCAATCCCTACTCACCAGTCCGGTTCTCTTACTCTTCGATCTTGTCTTGGATCAGCACACACGTCTCGTAGATGCCCTCGGCATGGCACAGCTCGTCACTCTCCAACTTGAATAACTCTGCGTCCAGGCCTTCAAAAGCAACTGCGAATCTTTCAACCAATAACTGTGGGATCACAGAAAACTATCAGCTCTCTCCATCTTATCGATGCATTAAAAAAAAAAGCGTCTTGCGTGGAAAAAGAGCGGCGAGTTGAATAGCGCTTGGCTGGGACCAGAGGGCATCGTAGCGTTCAGTTGAAGCAGCCGTTCGAACAGGAATACGACGTCCATGGGGTCGGCCTCCAGTTCCTGGCGGATGGCGGCGAACAGCGCTCGCCAGCGGAACGGACTCGACTCGGACAGCTCTTCACCCATTTTGTGCAGGATCTCGGCGATGGCTGAGGAAGGAGAGGGTGATCCACAGTGAGAAGGCAATAAATAGAGGCACAAAAGAGTGGAGAAGATGATGTAGAGCAGAGTAAGTACCATTAGCGCCTTCCAGCGCGCCGATGCGGCTCAAGAACTCGCCGCAGGCCTCCAAAGCTTCGCGCATTTTATTTGTCAAGAATTTGAAAATGAGCATGTTGTTAGGTGTTGTTATTGTATCAGTTAAGTGTTTATTACGGTGGTAAATTACAATGTAAATTACGAAAGTATTGTAATTTTAGTCCGACATAGGTTCGTCAATGCAAGGCGTGCAAGACGACGAAGACTGCGGCTTTGATTGACAAGTTACATTAGTGACAGGCAGTTTACGTTTCGTAATATACAAATAAACGACTGGTAGGGTCTTATAGTCCACGAGGTGAATGAGATCATTCGTGGCAGTTAAATTCGTCACTACGATCTTCTCCAAGCAGAACTTCTACAACAGACTGAGAATGGGCATCAGTGGATTTGGACTGGACATGCATCAGTGGACATTGCTTGAACACAACCAGCGACCAGCTTGACAGCTTTACGCAGTTCGGTTATTTCGCGAATCCTTGCCTCATCACTGCCGTAGCCCGCGCTGCTTGCAACACGACGAAAGGATCGCCACGAAGGTGTTCAAGATCTCGTTGTCAGAAGTTGCAGTTGTGTGGCAGCAGCCATCAAGTCAGATGAAATTCGGTCCAGTCTTCACCAATCAGCGTGCTTCGCACCACACCCAATGACACGACTGCACCGAATGAACCGTGCCGGCTGGCAAACAGGAACTACAGCGTGTGGGCGCCATGGTCTCCGCCTCATACTGCTTGTCAAGCACCGCTAGGACGTCATGGGTGTGTCTAAGGACTGCAGATAACCCCAGTGTCCCTCCCACACAGTGCGAAAATCTGCGCTGAATCCACTGCGTAACGGCGTGTCAAAACCGAAATAACCACGACTGCGATGGAGTGCATCGAAGCCTCTTCGTCCACAGTCGCGAGCTCGACCGACAGCCGAGCAATGGACGTGTCCATGACGCGTCCTCGATGGAAGAAGGCGCTGTCGCTTGGCTCCACGGCCTCATCGGCCGATACAGACCGCTGTACCGACCTGGACGAGCTCGACTTGGAGGCATTAGCAGCGGACGGGGTGTTGACTTTGAACCCCAAGACGGGAATTTACTCTGGTTGGGTGCACGTTTCGACTTCTGGGCCTGGTAAAGTGGCGTTTGCCAAGCGGTTTTGCAGACTCGAGGAGCTTGTCTGCAAGTTTTACGTATCCTCCGAAGATGCGGAGCAAAGGGCTCAACCTGTTGGACGCCATGTCATTATCTCTGTCCGACGGGTGCATACGCATAACAAGACGTTCGCGTTCACGGACTATGAGGATCGCACGGTGCTGTTGCATACGTGTATTGGTGCGGACTTTGAGCATTGGTACGGGACTTTTGCGGCAATTATTAAGGCTACACAGGTCGCAAAGACCCACAACTCGTCGGCAACTCGTCGAACTACGGCATTCACACCAACAGCGAGAGTAGGAAGGAACCACCGAGCAGCAGAGGAACGACTGCGAGCGCTGACTATGCCAGAGTTGAACAGTCCATTGAATTCAACTGCTTCTGACAGACCGCAAGGACGAGAATTGCCACCAATCGCCGTGGATGAAAACGATCCGGAACGAACACACACAGTTTGGCTCTACATCCAAGCCCCGTGGTGGCGGCAACTATTGCGAAAGCGGATACGACGGTATTTCGTGTTCTCAGGAGCCAATGTGAGCTGCTTCAGCGTCAACAAGGAAGGCAAACGCGCCACCTTTTCGCACACTATCACGTCGTGCGTGTACAATAGCGAGCAAGACGCAACTTCGATCGAACTGGAGTATGGCAACACGCACAGGAAGCTGCGCCTTTGTGGCACAAACGATGGACGCAACGCAGTCGTGGCAACAGCAAAATATATCCAAAACGCCCTAGAATTATCAACCTAAGTGCAAATGTAACATGGGAAAACCAACTTCCACTATGTATTTGCGATCATTTGCGTCAAGGAGCCAAAAAAAAAAAAAAAGCTTCGAGCTTTTAGTCTTTTGACCCCTCCGAGGACTTGTCCTCGTCAACGCGTACATCCACGACTCTGAAGCCGTCGAAGAACTCCTTGTAGCTAATCACGCCGTCCTTGTTGCTGTCGAGATAACTCAGCAACTCCTCGATCTGATCATCCGAAAGTGGCGAGTTGAGCACAACGTTGAAAGTTTGGATTCCCGTGCGGAAATTGTCGCGACTGATGGCGCCACTATTCGTTGCGTCAAACATGCGGAAGGCGTTCCGGATGTGGATGCGGTGCTGGTAAAACACGTTGGAAACCTGTTGCAACACCGAATTTTGCCACGTGAGGTCCCCAGACTCCAGCACTTCCTGCTCCTTCAGATCTTGCACACTGAACGCCGTGACAAACTCCTTGTAATCGATCGAGTGGCCTCCGTCGCTGTCCACGGCCGCCATGACGCGGTCCATCAGATTCGACTCAAAGTTGAAGCCTAGTTGCTCCAGAGCGTTCTCAAACTCACTACGCGACAGCACACCGTCCTGGTTCTTGTCAAAGTGGTAAAAGTGATACTGCAGCGAGCCAGGACGCGCAAACAGCGCCTTGCCAATCTGCAACAGAGCCTGCATAGTCTCCACGTCCAGATTACTTGCTGGCTGCGGCGTGAACGTCGATTGATCATCTCCCGAAGACACACGACGAGTAAATATGGGAGTCTCGGGTTTCGTCTCCTCAGAAGTTCCCGTATCCAACTCCATCGGAGCCGGAGGTGGCAACATGGACGATAAATTCTGAGAGGATTCGCTCTTGCCCTGGTCCGTGAAAATCACTTCAAACCGCTGCGCAAACTCGTTAAAATCGATTCGTCCGTCATCGTTCGTGTCGGCTGTACGCATTAGCGCAAACACTTGCTGGTCCGACAGTCCGGTATCCATTTGTTTGAGTGTACTGAGGAACTCCTCGTACTCGATGAAGCCATTCGAGTCAGCGTCAAACACCTTGAAGGCTTGTTGCATATCGCCAGCGCCCATAGCGCGATACAATTTCTTGCAGATTAGAGCAATAATGCTCTCTTGCCATCCACTGTTGTCCATCGCGTCGTTCTCAATGCGATAGCGAGCGAGAAACTGCGAGTAATTGATGCGCGTCGATGTTTCGTCCACTACGTCCGCGAGTTTCGGTTGGTACGTCAAGAAGGGCAGATCCAGTTGCAGTACAGACCGCAGAGCTTCGGCCCAGATCAAGCGAGGCACAGTACCGTTGTGCTCTTCGTCGTGCTGTGTGAAATACCAGTACAAGGACGCCTTGTGGTCGCAAATACGCTCCGCAATCATCCGCAGCGTATCTTCTTCCAATACTCCCTGCATCTGGGCTTGTTCAGGAGCCTTGAACGTGCTCTCGTTGATGGAGTGCGCGTAAAACTGCTGGATCTCCGGCTGAAGATCCGGCCCCAGTGTCAAAAACGCGCCTTTATTCATCTGAGTGCCGCAGTATCTCGAGGCCGAGAACAGAGTAATCAAGCGACCACCGTGGAGGATCTCGAAGCCTTCGAGTACGCACTCGTGTGACCGGATAATCAACGCGATCTTGTTCACCAGACAGAAATTGTTAGTGACACTCACGCCAAACTCCACGCCAGCGCCACGTTCCGAGGGCTGACGAGACTGAATAGGACGCGGGTCACTCCACAACATGTCTTCGAAGATTTTATCCTCAAAGTTCACTTGGTGCAGAGGAGGTTCGCGCTTTCGTGAAATTCCACGCAAATGTGCCAACGTGACATTGTCACGAGAGAAAAGACCGCCGTGAACGACGAAAATCTTCTGCTGGAGCACAGCGCAGAGTGGAGTGGACTCGAATAAGGTCTGGAAACACTCGAAAACTCGCGCGGGACGCTCTAAATCGTCCTCGTCAGCGCCTGAATACTTGGCCCACACTTCGTCCTCAAAGCCCATCCACGAGTTTTGGTTACGGGACTCGTGGTTGCCACGGTTGAGGAAGACGCTGGTCGGGTACAGCAGTCGGAAGAGAAGAATGGTCATCACAACTTCAACGCCATACATTCCGCGGTCCACGAAGTCACCGTTGAAGAGATATTTGTTGGTGCGAGTGGGGAGGCCGTTGATGGAGAAGATGGAGAAGAGATCTTGCAATTGGCCGTGCAGATCGCCCACTACTGTGATCTTTTCACCTTCTACGAGAGTGATTTCCTGCAGCGTTGGCAACGGAGCCAGAGATTTCACGCCTTCTTTGAGAATCTCCAGCACATATTTGTAGTGCAGAATTTGCGTCGTCTTGAACGAGTCCAGGATTTCCAACACGTTTGACAGCTCCAGTGGCCACACCAGGTGAGGTCCGGCGTATTCCGGATCAATTTTGATCTCCGACACGGCAACTTCGGACACTGTTCGGTTCAAAGACTGAAAAACAAGTTAAATGAATAATAAAAAATGGAATAAAAATAATAAAAAAAAAACATTGTGGCAAACCTGTTTCTTGGTCAGTTGTGCGAGTGTGTGTTCCGCCGACTTGAACTGTTCGGAGCGCTTGAGGTTAAGTTGTTCCTGCGTATTATCCAGTAGGTTCCAGGCGTGTGAATACACGAGATGTCGGAACTTTTGCGACGCGCTGTACCGCCGCCAGGCACTTTGCAACACACAAGCTGCACCATCTTCCTCCGAAAAAGCCTATCCAACACGTATGAAAAAGTCTCACTTGGCTGTTGCAAACGAGCTCACGTAAACTTTCAACGTACGCTGAGCTGCTCTTCGCGAACGAAAGCTCCGTGTAGAGGTTTGCACTCAAAAAAGCGCTTGCCGTCTTCTGTAGTTCCATCGCTGTCTCCACGTGCACGAGTGAGCTCGACTCCAACGAGGGCAGTGCGGCGCTCAGGCACGTAGCGAATTGTCTGAACGAGATAAGTAAGTAAGGTAAGTGAAGAGAAGGAAGGGTAGTCAGCCACTCACCCCTGCATACTTGCCGCGCACCAACACGCGCGCACCCACTTGCACGCTAAAATCCGCGTTTTCCCCTTCCATCGGCAACTAGCTGCAACACAACAGGAGACAAACACTCAGCAAGACGCTTAGAACTCCAAGCAACCTCTGCCTGCCACGCACATATATCCCCCAAAGCGCGTGCCTATTAGCTGTGACAGTATTTTCGCGTAAACGAACCCACATATCAGTGTAGTAAGAATTACCTAAATTTTAGTCTTTTACACAAAACGTAGTGCCAAACGACACAGTCACTGACACGAACGTCAACCGATGGACGCACAGTCTGGTGCCCCGTTGGACGAGCAGCTACGCCAGCAGTACGACGCGCTCTTGGCTGGCGACCCCATCACCGCCGACTATGAGCGCTGGCGTGAGCTCAAGCGGCTCGTGATTGTGCACGGCTTGCCACGGGACGAGGGATTCGCTACCGACATCGAAGGCTCCAATGCTAGTCTGTGCTCTTTGCGAGGACGAGTGTGGAAGGCCTTCTTAGGGGTGGAAAACGACGTGGATATGACGAAGTATGCGGCGCTTGTGGGCAGAGGAGCGTCGCATTACGACGGCGACATCCGCAATGACACTTTTCGCACTTTTCGAGGAGATTTGGAATTTGCCCAGCGTGTGCCAGAAGAGAAACTGGTGCGACTGTTGAACGTTTTTATCAATGAATTGGGGTCGAGTCCTGGGGAGGAGAAACAGGAAGACGGTGACAATGCTCGAAATGGCAACTTGCCGTCGATCAGGTGGGTGGCATTTGCTTTTTGGCAGAATAATGTTTTTTTTTTTTTTAACAAAGTTGGACGGAGTAGATATGTGCAAGGAATGAATGTGCTGTGTGCGCCGCTGTTGTATGTGTTGCCGGAGCCGGATGCCTACCACACTTTTTGTCAATTGATAGTGCGACATTGTCCTCATTACATGGCTCCACAGCTGAAAGGCGTCGAGAAAGGTTGCGCATTGGTGGATAAATGTCTTCAAACGGTAGGAAACTGTGTTGTGCTGTGTATCTATGGCAACCCAATACTGACTTTTCGTTGTGGTTCATTTTGAGTAGCTGGATCCAGATTTATATCAACATTTGTCTTCACGTGGCATCACGGCGAGAATATACGCTCTTCCACTCATCTTGAGTTTGTTCGCTTGCGTCCCGCCACTCCATGAACTTCTTCGAGTCTGGGATGTGGTAAGCTTTACTCATTTATCCTGTTTATTGACAAATATTTAAACTTACACATTGTTGTTCCTCTTTGAATAGCTGTTTGCAGTGGGCGTTCATTTTGTCGTAGTGCTAGCTGTAGCGCATACGGTGCTACTTCGCGAACAATTGTTAAAGATGTACGTACACCTAGCACATTACATGAAGTTCCCATGCTCTAACGTTGTTGCTTTGTACTCAGGGACATGGACTTGATGAAAGTCCTTAGTCTTCGATGTGCGCCGCCTTTGCAATCGGATCTGCTTATTTCAGTTGCTTTGCAGTTGCTTCACCGCCTACCGGAGGATCTGTTGTACGAGATCGCTCGCCATCCATTTGAGAATCCAGACGCACCAACGAGTCTGCCATTCCACCCAAAGACAATTTCAGCCATTGCGACTCAGGTCCGGAAACAACAAGAGCAACAAACTAGCCCTGTTCGTACTCCACGTTCATCGTCACGAGGGCAAACGGCGAAAGATAAACCAGTAGCGAAGCCCGGCACACCTCGTCAAACTTCCTGTTCATCCTCTTCCACAGGATCAGGACGTGCTCGTCCGCCTTGGAAAATTTGAAATATTGTGAGAGTTTTTTTTTGTATTGGTTAAATGAAGTATCTCGCAATTGTAAAATTGAATCACAAATTTGCCAAGTTTCCTTCCATCGGCTCTAGGGACGACTTGTCCATCTATCGACGGCCGTGTCGGAATTTGGGGCGTGCAGCTTTGCGTTCGGCCTTCTCTTTCTTCTTCAAGGCAGCAGGGTCGTCCTCGTCCGTCGGGTCTGGTGTGAAGACGTAGTTAAGCAACATGCGACCGCCATGGTACAGCAAGTAGCCGGGAATGACGAGGTACAGAAGCCAGAAGTAGCTGGAGATCAGGAGTCCGGCTTGCACGAAGAGCGTGATGATCAGAACGTCCATCGCGTATCTAACGTGGACGTCAGAGGACGTGGCAGAAGGTAAGTAACTCGTGTATCAACTACCAGAGGTTCCAGAGTACGTACTCGCTACTGCCTCCTTCTTCAGCTGCACCGACGACCCATGAGTAACTGAGGTAGGTGGACAATGACAGGAAGGCGTAACCCACGAGCGTCCACGTGGTCACCGAGCTGTAGTGCCACACGATGCAGTACAGGAAGTAAAGCACATTGATGGGCACGATCCACTGCTGCAGCCGCGAGCTGAGTGACGCGCTGGCGCGCTGCGCCTTCTTGGCTGCCTGGTTGGCCTGGGAGGAGAGGAGGATCGTTAGCGCATGAGCAGAGATGCTGGTGGACACTTTGACCGATGCCGTACCATTTTAACAGTGCTTTAGTAGAAAAGTTATTTTCTAAACTGCTTTTTTTTTTAATAAAAAAGCATTTTTATCTCAAAAAATTACAATAAAAGAGTATTACCGATAGCAGGTATTTGGTGTAGTCAACATGAAGTTGAAGTGCCATGATTTTGCGGTTAGCTTCTGCAGTCGACGACTATTTCTACTGTCAATGCACGACTAGTAGTTTGCATTAGTACCACGTCCGATGGCTCCGTGGTTAGCTGGGAATGCCACTCGATCAATAGTCAAGTGAACAGATTGGCAATTCCAACATGGAACGGTTTCAACATGGTCACCACGCTGGTATAATTGTTGCCGATAGCTGGAGAATTCCAAATGTCCAAATGTGTCGCGATACCGCGTATAAATACTTGTTTTCCAATGGTGTGGGCGGCGAAGAGATCGCAGTAGTAACGGCAGCGTCGAGTATATATTTTAAGTCTTTGCGTGGCTCCCCACTTGATTCTCTCGTCAATTCCTGGAGCCTGAAACCCCTTACAATAACCAAGACGAGAGTGCCTCTTTCTCTCTGCATGACTCTGGGCTCGGCTCCATCGTAAGAACGCTTGACACTCACAGCATCCGGACATTCCAAGCACACTGAGGGTGGATTCAGTCTCTCGAGAGGGCGAGCCCATTGGAGGAGGTGGAGAAGTGGCAGCTACGTGTCCCGACGAGGGTTGCAACCCCGGGGCTCACGGCCCGAGAAAATTGACCATTGCAGTCAAACCACAGTCCTGGGGATCGAACCAACGCTCCTTTCGAGAAATGGAGCGGCATGGCAGCTCTCTTGGCCAACCGTACCGTTTAGTGGACCCTTTCCAGATCGAACGCGATGAACGCACACACCAAAAACCAACATACATCTCGAACGCGATTCATACATCAAAATACACCTTCCTCAATTTCCTGCCGATTTGTCTACTCCAAGAATTTCGACGGGTACGCGTTTATCGTCAATTTGAGGATATTGTATGTTGCTAATCACCGGCTGTGTATAGTCAGCAAATCTGTACTTCCTAGTGATCGCTATATTGCAATCGATTAAGCAGATTTCGCCTCTAACTCCAGTAACAGCAATCGCGCCACTGGTGATGGTGGTTAGTGTTAGTTTGCTACGGGAAGCGATTGAAGATAGGGTGGGTTTTGGGCGATTTGTTTGTGTAAGGCTTTAATTGTTTTTTTCGTGTACTGACGCACGATGATACTTGTAGAAAAAGCGCTTGTCCGATGGTTTTATCAATGCCAAACCGGTGCTTGTCTTGCGGAATTTTGAGGAGCAGCAGATCGTGTGGGAATCAATTCAGGTAAACGAAGCAACAGTGAACTGGTTGGATACCTTAGCCTGACTTTCTGCTTGTGTGTTTAGGTTGGTGATCTCGTTCGAATACATGAGCGAGAAGCGTTCCCAGCGGATGGAATTATTCTCGCTAGTAGTGAAGAGAACGGTACGATATTCACATGTAAAGTTACGAGGGAAAAATGCTGACAACAACGTCAATGCAGGTTCATGCTTTATCGATACCAGTAACTTGGATGGGGAAGCGAACCTAAAATCACGGTCATCGCTACGCGTCACGTCCAAACTCGTATTTGACAGAACCTCGCGTGACAAAGAGAAATTCTTCATCAAATGCGAGCAACCAGACCAGGATCTGTATCGGTTCGCAGGAAATCTTTCGGTTGATTCAAAAATGTACAGTCTCAGCGAGAAACAATTCCTCCCACGAGGCTCAACACTTATGAACACCAAGTGGGTCATGATGCTCGTAGTGTATACAGGTAAATATTTTTCGCTCATTTATTAGGATTATTCGCTAATTTGTTTTATCTTTTGTAGGTCACGACACCAAAGTGATGAAAAATGCTCGAGCTGCGCATCACAAGCTCAGTCATTTGGACTTACAAATGAGTCGTACTGTGGTCTTCGTCTTCTTCATCCAAGTTCTTCTATGTGCGATCGCTGCGTGCGTCCACCACTTCCACTTCGATTCGAGCGTATTAATTCACGTGGGCGACGAACATTCCAAGTCACAGGAATCCGTTCTGCTCTTCCTTTCGTTCATCGTGTTAATGAACACACTGATCCCAATCTCACTAGTGGTGACGGTCGAAATCATCAAAACGGTGCACGCCAAATTCATCACGTGGGATAACAAAATGCGCGATAGTAACGGAGAAGGAGCGATGGCGAACACTTCGTCTCTTACGGATGAACTTGGTCAGGTCAAGTACATTTTCACCGACAAAACAGGGACGTTGACTCAGAACCAAATGGTTTTTCGCAAATGTAGCGTTGGTGGGGGCGTCTACGTTGCCAAGCAGAAACGTTCGCTTCTTAGTGGGGTTTCTATCTCTTCACTGGATGCTTTAAACGCTGGAACAACGGGGACAAGCACTTATCACAGCGATGACTCCCAACCGAGCGAGTTGCCGCCGATTTCGTATTTTCGTCGCCTTTTGAGAAATCTCGAGAGTCGAGAAAGTCACTTTGCATTGGCAATGTCGCTGTGCCACACTGTGGTGTGTGAATATGACCGAACGACTGGAGCTTTGTCGTACAATTCGGATTCTCCCGATGAGTGCGCGTTGGTCCGAGGCGCAGAAGCTATGGGTGTCAGATTATTCGAGCGTTGTGGGCATAAACTTTACGTGGCAATTACGGAAGAAGATCGACATGGATCACACGTGAAAACAGTCACGTATACTCTGACGTTTCAGATTTTACGCGTGATTCACTTCTCAAGCGACAGGAAGCGGATGACGATCATTGTTCGGGATGAAAATGGAGGGATTAAAGTCATCTGTAAGGGCGCCGATAGTGTCATTTTAGAGCGTTGTGATCACTATTTGTCCAGTAAGGAGGAGACCATGGCTCATGCCACACAATTTGCCGAGGAAGGATATCGGATTTTACTGTTTGCTGAACGTGATCTGGTGCGTATGGAACGACGAGGGCCACTACGCTTGGATTCTATCTAATAATTGATTTGGAATTTTTTTTATGATTCAGGACGAGAATTATTACAGCTCGTGGGAGGATCGATACGATGAAGCCGAACTTGATATTCATTCCAAGGAAGCAAAGACAGAAGCTTTGGTGGACGAAATTGAACGGCATTTCACTCTGATCGGAGCGAGCGGTACGTTGATGAAAATTATCTACTTTTGTTTTGTTAGCGTGCTCATGTAATTATTGTTACAGCTGTGGAAGATAAGCTACAAGTGGGTGTACCAGAGACTATTTCTCTGTTTCAGAAGGCTGGAATTAAGGTAATTTTGCTCTGGCTGAAGTGGATGAATAATGTATAAAACTCACCGTCGAGATCGTTCCTAGATTTGGGTGTTGACGGGTGACAAGCTGGAAACCTCACTTGAAATGGGCAAGCTTTGTCGAGTTGTTACCCCTAAAATGCAAGAGGTGATTATTCAAGGCACCACTCGATATGAAATGACTCAGCAGCTAGAAAAGGCTCTCCAGAACTCGAAGGTTGACACTTTTTCTCTTCACGTGAGCTGTTTCCATGACACTGACATTTTTGGCTATGTAGGAAAGCCAAGCGGTGCTTATTGATGGGAGTGCTTTGACATTAGCACTACTCCCAGCAAACCGCAACAACTTCCTTAAATTGGCACTACAGTCTGCAACCGTTATTGTTTGCCGCGCATCACCTATTCAAAAGGCATTAGTAGTGGAGCTCGTCAAAGCAGGCGTACCAGACGTTACTCTTGCAGTGTAAGTCTTTCTAGTTAGTTGCAAAATTGTTCATGATGATTGCTTAACTGATGGTTGTTCTAGTGGTGACGGAGCAAATGATGTTAGTATGATCCGAGCGGCTCATGTTGGCGTCGGGGTTATGGGTCAAGAGGGGATGCAAGCCGTTCGAAGTGCTGACTATGCCGTGCAGCAGTTCAGTCATTTAGGACGACTACTTCTTTATCACGGTATATGGTGGTATTGTGCAGAATCTGTAGTGCTCTCGATATGGTACTAACTATAATGTTACCAATGAACAGGTCGACTGTCGTATCTCCGAACGACTCAATGTATCGACTATTTTTTGTACAAGAACATCGTTTTCACAGTGCCACATTTTTTCTATGGAATCGCATCAGCTTTTTCGGCTCAGGTACGTCTATGATTAACATTTTTTTTAGTGAAGTTAGATGCTTACTAGCAATTATGTAGACTTTCTTCTGTGACTTATACATCACAGCCTACAACGTCGTCTTCACGGCACTTCCGGTCACAATTCGGGCGGTCATGGAGACAGATCTTTTGGAGGCTATCGCGGCCAAATTTCCCGAACTTTACCGCTTTGGAGCTACCAACATGTTTTTCTCGCACCGTACAATGGCAAAATCCTCATCACTAGCAGTTTGTCACGCTCTGATCACCACTGCTGTGCCTTTGCTACTGGCTCAACACAGTAACCTTGGCGAAGGAGACTCGTTCTGGGCTGCAAGCGTGGCGTCGTTCTTCTATATCGTCCCGATCGTTCACTTTCAGATTTTCTTCGAAACGTGGAATTGGACGTGGTTGATTTGCCTCACGTACGCATTATCATTGGGCGCGTTTTTCATGTGCATTGCCGTCTACGATCACTTTGTTGGTGACGTCGAAGGTGTTTGGAGGACGGTGATTGCTAGAAAAGGCTTCTGGCTTGGCTTCGCTCTGGCTTCGGTCGCCTGCATTCTACCCGTTGTAGCCTACAAATGGTACGCCATGATAGTTCTCGTCGCTGTAAATATATAACTTAATCTAACGTTGCTGTGCTTGGTATCTGCAGCTATGAAGAAAACTTCGAGACGTCCAATCCCGTCCACATTCTACGACGTACACGGCTGCACAATAAGGTGTTGGATTCGTCAGGAGTAGACACGTTGGGGTCCACTGATCTCACCACCTCTGTCGTACCAAGTCCACAAGCCACTAGCAATAAAAGACCCTAACTAGACAGATTCAGAACAAATGAATATCAACATTTTTCGTTGTAATTTTTGGATGCCCTGCTTATCTTTTTCGGGTATGTCTCTTCGTGGGCAGATTCTTTTAACGACGTTCCCAAAAACATGGCGTTCCTTCGACGCAAGAAGCCTAACGTCCGAGTACCTACCGGTAAAGATGCCGTCAACTTCCGCAAGCTTTTGTTCCTGCCGATAAAAGACACGGAAGATCTCCTCACCAACCAAGCATGGGAGCGGGTACGTTTGTCAATATTTTCCTAAACCAAGCTTACTTAACCCCTTCTTCTGTATTATTGCAGCTAGACTTACGATGTCTAACACTAATGAAGGCCAAAATGCTGCGAGCGTCCTGTATTGCTCGAGGGTTACCGAGGAAAGGAGGTAAACGCACTTTGGTGCAACGTCTCACAGCTTCGTTGAGTGAGCAGCGCGCAGCAGGTAAGAAATGATACTGTGTCTTAATGAAGAGAGATATCGTGTTGATACAGTTCTGTAATGACAGAAATTCGACGCCGACAAGAGGAGGAAGATGAATATCAACGTCAACTGGATATGCTTGGAGGAGTATGGTCGTTTGGGTCAGGATTTGCTGGACAACTTGGCCACGGAGACCTCGAATCGTCCGCAACTCCACGGATTATTAAGAAGCTTCGAGGACGCAGCATAGCACACGTATACGCGGTAAGAAATTATGAATTAATGAAATATTTTAATAGGAAAGTTAGTGAGAATTTGTTTTGTACAGGGCTTTGACTCGGACGTCGCCTTCGCTGTGAGTCGATCGGGAGACGTTTATGTTTGGGGTAAGCGTACGGGCCCTACTGGTCTCCCACCAGGATTATCCTTAGCTGCACTTACAAGGAATACGTACGGTCAAGATAGCGGTTTAGAATCTGAAGACGATCAAAATGGAGAAAATATCACGAAACCCGAACTTTCAGAGAGGATTGAAGAGGAGCGAGATGATGCAGATGAACCGAATGAGAGCGACGAAGAAGAACAGGAAGAGGGAGGAGAGGAGGATTTTGTTCACCCTGTTAAACTGCTGGCCCTTTGTGGCGAAGGTATCAGTCATATCGCTGTGGGTCGAGTACATTGCTGTGCAACAACCAAAGACGGAGATGTGTATACGTGGGGGCAGAACGATCACTGTCAACTTGGCACTGAACCAGTCCATAATTTATCAGAGGCTCTGTCCAAGAAAGCTCGAGTACGCTACGGAGTTGACTGTGCTGAACCACGCCTATGGGAGAGAACAGTGTCGGAGACTTGTGTGATTACCGCGGTTGACGTTGGTACGAATCACACGTTTGCAGTCACAGACAAAGGCGAAATGGTGGCGTTCGGAGCCACATACAACACGAACGACCACTCCAGTCTAGCTCGCAATATTGCAAAACTTCGCGTCACTCAGGTATTTTACAAATTGGTCATGTAATTTAAAGCATTGGTACTAATTTGTCTCTCTCTAGATCACTTGTGGCGCCATGCACGCTGGATTGGTAACTTCCGATGGACAGGCCTATACATGGGGAAGCGGTGACGGTGGGTAAGACTTATATTCTGTAATGAGACATTGGCATGCGTCTAACGTGGTGTGCAATGCAGCCGTCTAGGACACGGAGACAATACGTCTTACGTGAATCCGAAGCTCGTCGAAGCGCTCAAGACCGATATCATCGTGGAACTTGCATGTGCGTGTTGGCACACGGTGGCAGTCGTGTTAATTCCGCCACTGTTGAAAGGCGGAGTGGTGCGTAGATATCATTTATTTATCAAAATCCACGAGCTAATTCACTATTTCAAAGGTATACACATGGGGAAGCGGTCGTCTTGGACAGGTATTCCATTTCTACATATCCTCAGTGTACGCTACATCTTCATAACATCGTTTTATCGAAGCTTGCCCAAGGAGGAAAGCAAATTTCGACGTTACCAGGTCTAGTCACCGATTTCCTCACTACCCACGCACTCATCAAGAAAGTGTGTGCAGGCATGTACCACAACGTCGCATTATCCGTCGATGATGAGGTATGTGAATTCAATTCGCTTCAGATTAACACTACTATTCCTTCTAAACTTTATCTCGTTCAGGTCTTCACATGGGGTAGCAACATGAATGGCTGTCTAGGGAGACCAGAAGAATTGGGCGATTTAGAGGAGAATTTTTGTGCCGTTCCTGGTCGCGTAGAAGGCATGGAAGACTTTGTCGGCCGTCCTTGCTCCAGTTTGTGCTAACTATCAATTGCCATCTTTGTGATGTAAATTCTAAGAAAAGTATTGTTACTCTCTATAGTTGCTGCTGGTCGCGAGTTTACCTTGATAGCCACGAAGCCATACATCGGTCCAAGCCGAGAAGAACTGGAGCGACGGAAACAAGAGCAGATGCAACAAGCTGAGAGTATCGACCGCCAATCAGGTGTGGTTAAAGACGAAAAACGTGACAAACTTCAGATGATTCGGAAGCACAAGCACGCGACCATCATGGCGCTCTTGAATGCGAAATACCCAAAGTGTACAATCTGCGCTGTGGGGCTTGTTTGCCCTGGATTCCAGCCAAACAGTGAAAATCCGACGCTGTGCAAACACTGCATGCACGACAACCGGAAGCATCAGGATCAATATAAAATCCACGACAAGAAGATCACGCTGACCTACCTCACGCAAGCCGTGGAGAAACTGGGAATCACAGTCGATTTCAGCGATATCCCAGACATTGAACTGGAGGAAGAACTCGAATTTGAGCTGGAAGAGGATGAATAAAATAGAAATTTAGCTAGTTTTTATTCTCGTTATTATTATTTTTTTCGATCTCTGATTACTTGGATACGAATCGTTGCATCATAGCTCCAAGTGCACGTTGCAGAGGTGAAAGCCGCAGCCACTCACGCTCTCGCCCGGATAAGAGGCCCATCATGTACAACACTAGAGAAGCTGAGCCGAGCACTCGGATAGACGACGACTTGATCACTTTTCGCTGCTTCGGGACGATAATATCCCGTAGTAAGCAGGCAAATGCGAGCCATAACAGGAGCTTGCCGGAAATGACTTGACGAGTCAATGTGCGAACACCGCTTTGCACTGTCGACCAACTCAGAATACTGCTGGATTCGTGTTTGTTGTGATTCGCCTTCATCACTGCAACCCACGAGAGAATATCGGCAAAATCCACCACACCATTGCGGTCATAATCCAAAGCATCCAAATAGGCGTCAGCGTCTGCAGAGCTAATTTTTTCACCTGGAAAATAAATCTCGTCAAATTATCTAATCAAACCCGAATATTTCGTTATATCAGACGCGTACCCAGAATATTGAGAATGAACTTTGACACCTTAGTCGAGCTCAACTCCAAGCTGCCATCCGTGTCCATCAACGAGAACATGAGCTTGATCGTGTCCAGTTCTTGTGGAGTAAGCAACTACAATAATTGTATCAAAGAGATTAGTATACGTATCCACCAAATAAAAAGCCGTCTCATGATAAATAACTTACATTCGGACGCTCATCAATTTGGTGTTCATCCATGTTACCTAAGGATGGTCTGCGGTGGATTCGAGGAGATGCTTGGCCTGAACTGTGGGCTGACGCTTCTTCTACCAGTTCCCACTTGTTCACTTCATCATCTAATACCTTTCGGATAGCTTGTGGGTGCATTTCACTTGTCAGACGTCGTCGTCGTTCTGTTCAAAAGTAAATTCAGCGTGTTAGTCTATATACTCAAGAAATTATACAATATGTGACTTACCTGCTGGATCCTCGTGCTCCTCTTCGACTACTGTAGCGCTAGCGTCAACCTCGTTGTGATCAATAGAATTCAGCTCACAGGCAACTCGCATTTGAGCTCTATGCCCTTCTGCTAGCCACAAAACTTCTTCGAAAAACTCCTTGCTTGCTGGAAGGAATGGCAAAGTTTGGTTGAATAATCGCCACATGTCGGATCCTCGCTCTGCACTCGCAATCGGTGGAGCTGGATGCCCCGCCGACTTAATCTGCTGGATTTCCCACGAAAAAGGTTCATTTCGGAAGAGCAAATACGCGGCCTAGTACAAAAAATATAAACTCACTCATATCTGAATCAAAATTTGAAACAATAAATAAATAAAAGAAGCGTACCGTATTTCCATAGCTATCGCAGTAGTTTGGCGCCGAAAAGACGGTGAGGAGTGGAGGCATGGACTTGTCCTCTCGCGTATCCAACTTTTGGTATTCCTCCGAGTTGAAGTGGAAAGTGAAACCTTCATCCTCATATTCATGTGCGCGAAGCATCGACAGCAGCTTGTTGTTGGTCAAAAACTCGAATACTGCCGCAGCATTGAAGTAGTACGAACATCCACGGGCCTGTTCGTCAAAAGAAAGTCAGAATATTACCTTTGCTGTACAAATAATTATAATCGACGTACCTGATTGGATTCCCATACTGGTTGAGTGTCCACTTCTGTGGCCATTTCGCGACTATGTGGAGTCTTTGGGTCCGACCATAGGAGATCGCACAACAGTCCAGTGGTAGGAATTTCTCGACGTCGATCCATCATTTGAATGTCCTCGATCGTTTTCAACTCAGGTGACAATCCACCGTGCACACAAAAAACTTTTCCACGTGACGTGGACAGCGTGGCAGCCACTGGCATCGACTGGAAACAGGACAAAAAGTGGTAGTACGCCGAGATGCCGTATTTCACTCGACCTAAAACAAAAACCAAAATTAATTTTTACGGATGCTATAGTTGCATGATCAATTGCACGTACATTCATTGCGAAATCCGTAGAAGGATGAGATCGATTCACACTCGTGATTGCCACGAAGCAACACCACTTTGTCAGAAAACTTTAAAAAAAAAAAACGTTACAATCAAAATTTCACTGCGATTAATCCTAAAGTTGCCTTACCCGAATCTTGAGCAGTAGTAGATACAGCATGACTTCGCACGAGAAGGCCCCTCGGTCCACGTAGTCGCCCATAAACACTAGCTGGACATCACGCTCTGCCAAGTCGGCAATGCCAACGGCGTCCATCAACTGCATTAGGTCGTAGAACTGGCCGTGGATATCTCCAAATACTAAGCATATGAACACGTAATCGACCATATTTTCAGTCGCCAATGTATCCATTGCCATAAAGGCAACTTCTCTCAATTACCATAAGTTGAAGTTCGTAGCGGCACGTCCACAACGTTCTGCTCCAGGTTCATGAGAAACTGCGCCTCATGGATGACGCCCAGTGCGTCCTTCACTGCCAGTGGCGTCTGCTGCTCGAAGGCCTCGCGCACTTCTTCGAGCGTCAACAAGACCTTGGTCTCCTTACGTCGCATCATGTCCGCTCAAGGTAAAAAAAGCGGACGTGAAGAGGATACCGTGCTTCGCATCACTAGGTACGAAAAGTTCAAATGCACTTCAACTTGCATTCCGGCTCTACGTCAGGGCGGTTTTTAGTGATATATTAATAATAATAATAATAAAGTTAATAATAATAATAATAAAGGGAAACGTGTCGCACGTTACTTCGCGCCACGCTGTTCAGCACGCCAAGACGACGCAGTCAACGCTGCAGATAGAGGACGAAGTTGCGCTGGCCTCGTCGACCACCTGTGGCGTCTTCGACCTGGTCATTTCGAGTCGAGAATGACGCTGCATTACCAGTAAGCTGGCAACACCAACAAAACTAATACCACAACAGCGACTGACCCACACATTTCACTGGATCTCGCTCGCTTAGATACACAAGACTGGTCAACACAGAAAATTAAAACGTTAAGGGGGTTCACTTTGAGTGCAATGCTGGAAACACAACAATACAAAGACGCAGGTTTCAATTAAACGTTTTTTTAGTAATACTTCTTTTTTTTTATTGGTCGTCAAGCGTATCTTTGACGTTGAAGTGGTCGTAACCTGTGGGCATATCCACTCGACACCCCAGCACCATTCAACCAGCAGTATCACAGCCCAGTGTCTCCATCCAAAGCTTCGCCTCCGTCTTCATGCGCCTTCATACGACACTGATTCCCCTCTCTCAGCCGCATTCTCTGCCGCCCTACGCCGGCGCCAGCCTCAGTCTCCGTCGACTTAGCCACAAAACCCGCAGCCTCCAAACCGTCTATCTGGGCTCGCCATGCACTTAAGCGACAGGTCCGTCCTCTCAGTCCGCCCCTCGTCCGTCACTTTTCAATTTGCGTAGTGCAAATGGCCGAGCGTCGCCAGTCTTCACGCAACGGCAACAGCCGATGCCGCACGCGGAGCTCCAGCACGCCGCCCACCAAGCGCTCGCTGGGCTTTAGCACTCCCTCGACCTCCAGCGCTGTGAGCCCTCCCCGCCTCTCACCGACCCACGACGAGCCTGGAACTGACCGTGTCTTGACCTTCCTGCAGAGCGCACGAGACCGCAACGTGCCCGTTCGCTTCGGCAAATGGAGCGTCGAGGAAGATGCGTACCTGAGCAAGCTCATTTGGCTCTTCGAGCACGGATTGCTGGCCGATATGGAGCCCAAGAGGTCGCTGCGTTCGTTCCTGGCGCTTATGCTCAACTGCTGCCCCATGCGCATCTCCAAGAAGCAGATGAATGGCCACAGCTTCGTGGGGAAGACCAAGTATGTTCGTCACAGCAACAAAATGACGCAACAGGAGTACGACAAGCTCTGTCACGAGGTCTGGAGACTCCGAGACGAGTTCCTTATGGCTTGGGCCAAGGACGAGTACGCCAGACGTAACTCCAGAGTCAACCAGGACGAAATGAGCTTCCAGGACTGGTATGACAAAGTGGTGAGTCTCGTACCCACTCCCAAACTGGCAAAGAGGTCGAATCTCAAAGAATGCAAGAAGAAACGACCCATTGAGTCACTGGATGAGCTCAACACGCAGGTGCAGGACTCCAAGAGACAGAAAGTCGAGAAATTGACCAACATCCGACCGGTACAGGCAATTGCCAGCAATATCCGACCGGTACAGGTAGTTGCCGTGCAGCCGGAGCGCGAGAATCCACAGGATACTCCTCGAGTGGAAATGCTGGAGTCCGTGGAGATCCTACCGTTGGAACCAGCTTTAATACCTGATAATACCGCGGTGATGGCTCTACCGACCTCGTACTGCAGTGAGAACGTGAGCGTGGGTGATTGGTTGGCCACATCAGACCGTGGTCGTGCTGTAGCTCATTGGACCGACTTCCAGAGTCTCAATCATGGCGGAGAATCGCGATACACTTTATGTGAGGACGCAGTGCAGGTCTCTTTGCACCTGAACGACCAGCAGCCATCGCTGGCTGAATTATCCATGACACGTCGGTCTTCGAAGCTGATTATTGACTTCGGAGCGCCTAGCTGCTGGCACACAGACGAAGAGTCCAAACACGAGCCGTTCTTTGACTATTCTCAGTGGACAGAGAATGACCTGACGGAGGAACTAGCAATGGCAACGGACTCCAGCACCTTCAGCTGGGACGACTCGTCCTCGCTCCCTTACTTGACGTACAGCCCAACGTTGAATTTTCTGTGAAGGCTGCTCATGGTCCGTAGCTTCATTATTCCAGGTACGACCATGTTACTTATGAGTTTTCCACTTCTGAGCGTAATTTCTTGGTACTTTAACCAGTGAAAATGCAGTTTTTTTCTACGTTGCAGATTGCGCTTTTATCACTTCCAGTTGTTGCATCAAACATGCAATTTCTTTATGCAGGTGTTTGAGTTTCTTCTGCTCTGCCAAGATTGTGTCTCCTGCGTGATCACGTGCTCGGATTGTTGCCAGTTCTGTTGCCATGGCGCCAACTTTCTCCACTGTACTCCAGTTACTCGACAAAATTTGCATTATCCGTTGTTCACTTGCGCGATCTTCATCGACATCGGCCCCTTTAGCGCCTGATAATTTGTTACGAGTCGCTCCCATGCGTATTCGTGCCGATGGATCCACCCGATCCACCGCAGTGGTTACAACTGTGGCGTCGTGCAACTCACTCCAGTCTGGACGAGGAGTGAAGGCTCGCTTCATATGCGCAGCTTCGTCTTCAAGATCCTTCATTTTTTTCTCAACCGTGACACGTTGATCATTCAGCTCCCGCAACTGGTTCCGCACGTCGAAGATGGCTTCGGTACGAGCTCGCAACGAGGCCTTCCGATCTTTATGCGTTTCTTGAAGTACTTGATGCTTTGCTAGCGCTAGAGCGAGTCGTGCAAGTTGCTGTTGCGTGGATGTCTTGGAGCCGACTCGACCCGTTGGCAGCAGCGATGAGGCAGTTGATAACGTGCGCAAGTCTTCCAGTCGCTTAACTCGCAGTTTGTTGGCTTGCTCTTCCCTTTTCACTTCGGAAGTGGCAACGTACACCTGCCGCTTTAGTTCGCTGTGGCGTGTGGTGAGGTCGTTTAAGCCAGCGCGAAGATCGTTGCACGCCCACGTGCGTAAGCTTTTGCGGCGTCGGGTCTCAGCTATCTCTTCACGAATTGTGGCAGTTGTTGCACTTACATCAGCTCCGTCGACAATACTGGCACAACTCAGTTTCCGCTCTAATGGCACGTTGCCGTCTACTGCCGATTTCATCGCACGTGTTACAGCAGCTTGACACTCTTGAATCATCTTCGGAAGCTCATTGCTGCGCTCTTCCACTTGTCGAATTTGAATACGTAGCTCCTGACACACAGTTTCCTCTTCGTGAAACATTTTTTCAGTGCCACGTAGTACTTGCGAGTAGAGAAATTTTGGCTGTTGATTCACTTGACTGCACTCTTTAATTGCAGGTTCTGATGCAAAAGACTGCCAGCAAGCAGCTTTCAGTCCTGCCAGCATTTCCTCAGCTCCCAAAGTGTCGAAAGTTACACATTTTCCACTATGTGTTAAAGCTGAAATTGCTTGTCGAAGTTTGCCGATTGCTTCTTCCGGTGTCATTGAACATTTCTGTTGCTGGTTTAAGACACTTTGATGTTTCTTTTCCACTTGAACAACTTCTTCCAGTACACGAGGCGATCGGAATATCTCCGCAGATGAATTTACTGTCTGACGACACGTCTGCTCCTCAGTTCGTCGTGGTGAAGGTGGCATGGCCGTCAAGCTAATATGACGTCGATTTGCTCGAGCGCGAGCTTGAGTTCTAGCCGATTGCTTGTGTCCCATTCGTGACGGCGCGGTTGGTACACATGAAGACGGTGGATAGTAGACGTGTGCAGTGTCCATGACGAAGTTTAATCCCGTTTTGAAAATAACTTGAGTTCGACTTTCGAGAAGTTAAAAGTCCGTATAAATAGCAAACTTTGACGACTCTGCACGAAAGTCGAATATCACTGTCACTTATACACAATGCGAGCTCTTAGCGCGATGCTGCTTAGTGGAACATGGTGGATCCATGTAGTGTGTGCGGCGGGAGGCCTTGACACAACCACGGTACGGAAAGAACCATGAGAAATAATTATCATTGTAGGCGCTAATACCCCGGGCTGGTGTTGCGGATGCCTTTAATGTCAGTACAGCCCTCGGAAATATGTGCTCGGACACTAGAAGAGATTCAGAAATTGCTGATCAACCAAGATCAGGACACCAACGGCGTGACAGGCAACACTCTTGTACCGAATGACTGCAAGGAACTGGTTGAAGCCGACGTGATGGATGCTCGAAGCGATGAAGAGCAGAAGTCTCTATGTGGCAATTCATGCTACGACACGCTCAACGCCAAGTACAAGATCATGCTGGACAACGACTGCTACGCAAGTGATGACGCCGACGAAGAGGCCAGTGGGAAACTCCAAGCTGCCGCGTACCAAATCGCCTGCCAGACTAATGTCGATGGCAAATACTGCAGTACGTCAGCAAGGCAACTTGTTCTTTGCCACGCAATTTAACACTTTTGATTTTCTCCAGTTCCGATGCTTGGTGAGTTGGTAAAAGAAGCCGGAACGACCTTCTCCCTCTGCGACGACATCGTGTCGGAGCTTGGCTGCTGTTTCCAGAGTTATCGGCAGTACATGCTACTTGGCACTGCTGCGAGTGTCATCGCCATGGACGAAGCTCAAAAAGAATGCACAGACGACGGCGTCGGAGGTCTGGACCAAATGTGTCCGTGCTCAT